CTCTCTCTCTCTCTCTCTCTCTCTCTCTCTCTCTCTCTCTCTCTCTCTCTCTCTCTCTCTCTCTCTCTCTCTCTCTCTCTCTCTGTGAGTGCGAGTGAATTCACAAAAAGGGCTACTCTCAGTGTGCTTATCTATCAGTTCTCTTGGCCCCTGACCAATATATAACGTATCTTTCAAGAGAGTCCCTTTCAATGTTCCAACCTAAAGCTAAGACTTCATCCTACACCCTATTGACCAGGTGCATATGAATGTGCATGATTGCATTTGCTGAAAATAGATTTGTGTTACAACTGGACAAACAGGGTTTATAACTTTATACAAGGACATGCCAGGGGTTCATTTTTGTTAATCTTTTCTTCCATTTGGCTCTTGCTGACGCACCTGTAGCCCCAGCAAAGGTAAGTCTTGAGACATCAGTTGTTGACGTGAAGACTGCATTGTTAACTGCTGAAGGGACGTCTGCTGTGAATGTTGCTGTTGTTGTTGTTGCTGCTGCTGCTGCTGCTGAGGTTGAGGATGGACTTGCTTCTGAAGCTGCTGCTGGATCTGTTGTTGATGCTGCTGAAACTGATGCTGTTGCTCCTGCTGGTACTGTAGGACCAACAAACTGGGGACATCCACCTCCTGACGAGAAGCATTCATCAGAGCCAAAGATAAGTTCATGGCCGCCCTCAGCTGCTCTTCCGTGGCTGGGCCACTGGCACCCAGTCCTGGAATTGTTGTATCCTGTTTCTCAGTCTTTACCACAACCCCTGACGGAGGATTCTGTGATGTCGCATGAAGAGGCACCGCTTGATGCTTGTGCATGCCTGGTATTTGCTGCTGATGCTGCATCTGTGTAGGCGTCATCAATGTCCGGTGTTGCCCTGCAGCTTGTTGAAGACCTAGCTTCACCTGCTGTTGAGCCGTTGAGTGTTTCTGATACTGACTGGACACCTGGTGATGTGGGACAGCCATGTGCTGCTGCTGCTGCTGCTGCTGGAATTGCTGTTGTTGCTGACTTGATTGAGACTGAGTACTAAGCTGTTGAAGTTGCTGCTGATCGGCTGAGCCCACCGAACTATGTAGAATTGCTAGCGGATGCTGCGGCCCCTGAGGAGGTGGCACCTGGTGCTGTAGGGGGGAAATGTGTGCCTCCCTGCCTGGTGTTTGAAACTGCTGCAGATGCTTCTGCTGCTGTGTCAGCGACTGTTGGAGTTGAGTGGGGAGCAACTGGTGTTGCTGGTGTTGAGTTGTCACCGGATGTGAATGTTGTGGAGGCCCCAATTGTTGGTTATGTGACAGAACTGGAGCAACCTCCCTAGTGATTGGAATCTGCTCCTGCCAAGTCCCTGACAAGTCATGTCCAGGTACCATACCATGCGAAAGTTGCTGATGGCCCTGAGCTGATGTTGAGTGCGAGACCATTTCTTGTGATAACTGGTGTGCTTTCAATACCCCAGTCTTCGGCTGTTGTTCAAAGTTGTGTGCTTGCCGTTGTTGCTGTTGCTGCTGCTGCTGAATCCCTTGCTGCTTCAACAATGAACTTGATGCCAGAGATGCTACTGTATCTTGTTGCTGCTGAACTGGTCCATCTCCTGGTAAGATTGCAGATCTTGACGGAAGGGAATCAGAGAGGACTAGCGATATACACTGGGGATTCCAAGCACTTGCATGCTGACCCTCCATCTGCATTTGCAGCAGCTGTGGTTGTTGCTGTTGTAGAAGGAACTGCTGGTGAAGCTTTGCCTGCTGTTGCTGCAGAAGATGCTGCTGCTGCTGCTGCTGCTGTAGCTGAAGTTGTTGCAAACGTTGTTGCTGAGGATGCTGCTGTTGCTGCTGCTGCTGCTGTTGCTGCTGCTGCTGTTGCTGCTGTTGCTGCAGCAGATGTTTCTGGTGCTCATTTTTCTGCTGCTGCTGCAACTGCTCTTGCTGTTGCTGCTGTTGCTGTTTCTGCTGTGGTGATGGGTGCTGCTTTTGCTTTTGCTGTTCCTGCTCTGGTTCCTGCTGCTGCTGTTGTTTCTGCTGTTGTTTCTGCTGTTGTTGCTGCTGTTGTTGCTGCTGTTGTTGCTGCTGGTGCTGTTGCTGTTGCTGTTGCTGTTGCTGGTGCTGGTGCTGTTGCTGGTGCTGTTGCTGTTGCTGTTGCTGTTGCTGTTGCTGTTGCTGTTGCTGTTGCTGCTGTAAATTTTGCTGTTGCTGCTGTAAATTTTGCTGTTGCTGCTGTAAATTTTGTTGTTGCTGTTTCTGCTGCTGTTGCTGTCTTTGCATCTGCTGCTGTTGCTGTCTTTGCATCTGCTGCCGTTGCAGCAGCTGCTGTTGTTGCTGCGACAATTGTTTTTCCTGCTGCTGTAGCTGCTGTTGTCGCTTCTGCAGTTGCTGCAATTTCTGCTGCCTCTGCTTCTGCAATTGTTGGCAATGCTGCTGCTGCTGCTGCACTTGCTGGAGTTGTTGCTGCGGTTGCTGCTGTGCCTGCCGTGTCTGCTGTGGATGTTGAGGTTGTTGTGGCTGCTGCGGCTGCTGTGGCTGTTGTGGCTGCTGCTGATGCAGTAGCTCCTGCTGCTTGTGTTGCTGCTGTTCCTGCTGTTGCTGTGGTCGCTGTTGTTGTTGTTGCTGCTGCTGCTGCTGTTGTTGTTGCTGCTGCACCTGATGATGTTGTTGCTGCTGTTGCAGTTGCTGCTGCGGCTGCTGCTGCAGGAACTGCTGTTGTTGGGGCTGCTGCTGCTTTCGATGTAGGAGCTGCTGTTGTATTTGTTGTTGCAATCGTTGCAGTTGTCGCTGCTGCTGTTGTTGTAAATGGGCCTGTTGTTGCTGCTGTTGCTGAATCTGCTGATCGAGATTCTGCACCTGTGGACTTCGTGTATGCTGTTGCTGCTGCTGCTGTGTCATGCAGACTTGCTTCATCTGATGTTCAAGTGACTTCTGCCCCTCGTTTTGATGTTCCTCCTGCTGCTGCTGCCGCGGCTGTTGCTGAGACTGCAAATGTGGCTGAGAATGTTTTTGGAGCTGGCGATGCGCCCACAGTTGGGGTTGCTCGGCTTGTTCCTGCTCTGGCTGTAGACACTGTGCTAGCGGACCCTGTAATTGTTGCAGCTGCATAATTCCAGTCTCCCTATTTTTCTGTGGTAGCTGCTGCAGTTGCAATTCATCTCTATCTTGCGGCTGCCGATTCGGTGGTTGCTGAATCTCCAGATCCAGATGTTGGCCTGGCTGCACTCGTTCTTGCAGTTGCTGTGGTGCTTGTTGCTCTCCCTGCCATTCCTGGTCTCCCTGCTCTTGCCCTTGGTGCTGTTCGTCTTGCTGCTTCTGCCCTAACCACTGTCTCTCTTCTTGCTTCTCTTGCCTCACCTGTTGCTGTTCTTCAGGTCCATATCTTACGTGTTCTTGCTGATTTTCTTGCTGCATTTGCTGCTTCTGGAATGCTCGCACTTGGTGCTGGAGCTCTCCCTCTAGTTCCACATGCCCCTGTGTCTTGATTTCAGGCACCAGTGGTCCTTGTTCCGACTTCTGGATTTGCGGTGGTTCTAAGCCCCCACTTCCAAGCCTGCCATGTTCGTGAATCACACCTTGAGTCTGCACCTGCTGCTCTGCCTCTTCCCCTGCTGTATTCATCTTTTGCACATTTGCAGAATCAGAATGTTCCATGGTGAGTGGTTGCTTCCCGCCAACCCCACATCCCTCCTTCTGTTTCTGCAACAGCTGCTGCTGCTGCTGCTGCAGGTGCTTTTTCAAGATCAGCTGTTGCTGCAAAACCGACCCGAGGTTTCCCAACACTTGCTTCTTTGTGAATGCCCGTGCCGGCAACGATTTCTGTTCAGCTTGCTGCTCTTTCAATGAGGCTACTGCTTGCTCAGGCCCCACATCCTGGCGTATAGGATCCTGTGAGACTTTCTGACCGGCTGATTCCACTGAAAGCCTGTTTGGTGCTAATGTGATTGCTTGCATCGAATCCATAGTCTGGTGTCCCAGTCCTCTTGTGTCCTCCTTGGCAGCAGCTGTTTCATCTATTTTTGAGAAGTGCGGCTTCTGTACGTCACCATCTTCAGCAACAGCATCCTTTGGTTTCCCTTTTGCCTTCTTCTTTTTCTTCCTTTTCTTATCACCTGGTCTTTGCTCTTTGTTTGGACTCGACTGTTCCTCCTGCTGTTGGTGCTGCTGCTGATGTTTCTGCGCTTGGTGGTGCTTTGCTGACTGGGACAATGACGTTTGCCCTCCCTTCACTTGCTGCTTGATATGTGGATCAGATGGCGTCATATCCATGTCACCATCACTGCCATCACCAGTAGCCCCACCTTCACCATCGTCTTCCACCCTGTGCTTAAGTGCTGTCAACCACCTGCTTTTGACAGTCTTTCTTGTCCTGCATTCATACAATCACAGGCAGCGTATTCCATCTTTAAGATTATCTTGGTGATGTTATGCTATGCGGCATTCAAGAGATTGCGAACTGAATCACAAACCACAGTGATAATGTACAACATGTAATGCTGTTACATGTATCTGGGACGGTGGGCCTGGTTTCCAGCCCCCACCAATAGTCAGGAGCATACTTGCGGCGCATCTCTGCGGTGCGCT